CTTGAGGCTGCAATCTCACGCTGCTTATTAAATGAGTCTTTGGTTGCGTGCGTTCCGTTTTAGTCGGAATTTGACAAATGTTAGATGTGGAAAGGATTTAATTTATGTAAACTTTATATTTTTATGCAAATTAAATGGGTATTTATTATAGCTGAAACAATTATCCTGGCACTTAGTGAGAAACCTGGTATGCATGAGAAGTGGTAGATAAGATCAGATGTTTCGTTCTGTAAACAAATATGAAAATATCCCAGTCTTTCCTGAGCTGGGAAAGAGCAGGGAAGACAGGAGGCTTCCTGATGTACCCAGGAATGTCAGAATCGCCTCCGTTCCTGGGATCCTCGAGTCAAAACCAGATCTTCCCTGCTGATAAAATGCCATAAACAGAATAATAAAAAAATGCTAATTTAATTTTAAAGAGTTCTTTTTCCCCCCCCTCCCTCTTTTAGTGGGGAGCTGTATTGTTAGGCAGAGAAGAGTTATGCTAATGACTGACTACTTAGCTGATTTTACATTAATATAATAAACATTACCTGTCTTAATGTGTTGTGCCGTGTTATGGCAAAATAACTAAGGCTAAAAGTGAGATTCCATTTTGCATAATGAAACAGAACTACGGTTTCCGCATGAGTAATGCGGCCGGGGCCGCTTGGCTGTTGTTGGAGGAGCGACGTGTTGTGTCACCGGGCGCGGGAAGGATGCGGGTCCTCCCAACGGCCCTTTCCCTTTTGGGGGAATCTGCTGGGATTTGGGCACTGGGCTCTGCGGTTTATCTGGTCTCGGGGCACGAGCAAAGCTCTTCTGCCTGGCTTTGCTTGAGGCTTTCTGGTTTTCACCGTTTTGCCCCAATAGCATTCTAATCAGCCAGCCCAAAACTTCTTTTCCTCTTTTTTTTTTGACTAGATTTCTGTTTTTCTTGTAGCCCAATATTTTTAGCTGTCCCCCCAGACACTTGTTTCCTTCTGCTTTCAGTGATGTTGTGCTCTGTGTAACCTTGCTCACAAAACCGTTAAGAGAAGATGTTTGTTTGTTTATTTGTTTGTTTGTTTATTTGTTTGTTTATTTGTTTATTTTAAGAAATCCAAATCACTTGCATGAGGAGTCATTTGAAATCGAGTTTGGGGCTCCCTGCAGCGAAGGCTTTTCTGGCAGAGTTTCACTTTACAGTTGAAGGCAATGCTGCCCATCTCAGGTGCCTGCCTGCTGGCAGCTAACAAGACTCCTGCAAATGCAGAATAAGGCAGAAAACGGCAAATTTCAATCAATTATCAACTATTTATTTAAATTAAGAGATTGAGCTGAAATTATATAGCCAGGATTTGATGGTTACTAATTCCAGCAAAAACAGGGCGATGTGGATGATGAGGTGGGTCTAAATGATGCTCATCGCCGTGACCCTTGCCTGAGGCTGGGCTTTTCCTGCAGGTTTTGGGGGAGAGGCTGGAGAAAGAGCAAGCGGGAAGCAGCAGCCTGGGAGRAAGAGAGAGTGTCTGAAGGCACCTGTGGGCCCTAGGGACGTAGCTCTCTCGTCTGCCCTTGCTGGTACCAGCAGGTCTCTGCTAGCAGGGCCACGGAGCTGYGGCTGTGCTTGTGCCTTGGCGACCAGGCTGGGTGTCCCGCACACCCTGCTGTCACCAGCAACCAGAGCAGAGGTGGCCCTCGAGTCCCAGCAACACCAACACCCCCCGGTTGGGGGCAAAATAGAAATAAACAGCTTGGGGGGAGAGAAAAAAAAAAAGAGGATTGATTTCTGGTCTGCCCGCTAAGTTAGCATTCTTTAAATATATTTCCAAGTGCTTTAATTTGAACTCCAACTCCCTGAAGGCAGCAAGGCAGAATTATTTTAGCCCTTCATAAGTACCGCCTGTGATTCATTGTTAACTCATAAAACATCCTCGTGCGCCCGTGCCGAARCAGTTAAGCCTTTTTCAAAGTTGGTTGGTAATTTCTTCTCTCCTTTTTTTTTTTTTTTTTTTGGCAACACTTTCAAGTTGACATCTGAGAGATAGAAATCTAAAATTAATTTATAGCCCTCGGTTTAGGTTTCACTTACTATCAGGCAAAATATCAGAAATAAATATTTTTTATCTAACGTAATGCAAAGTAGATTGCCCGGCATCTAAAATAAAGTTGAGTTTTGACTGAATACACTCAAAAAGGGACCCATAAATATTAAGGCGCTGTAGTTAAGAACTTACATGACTGTTTTAAATACTATTGATTTAAACCACTGGCTAGATTTTATGAATCAAAGTGTAATTTCCAAGCTTTGGCTATATTTCTCGACGCTAAAGCACTCTCTCTTGTGTGCCTTTGCAGCTTTCCAGACATTCAACACGGGATTAAATGATAGTAGTTACAATGATCAATAGGTTAAGACCGGTACAATCACTCTTACCGCTAATGACCTCGGTAGTAATGGGTAATAAAGTGTGGGCTATAATAGCCTCTTGCTGGTGCTGCATGCCCTTTGATTCCCAGTATTACTAGGGACTAGCTACATGAAAAAGTTGGACGTTCGGAGTTAAGAGAGTGGATATATAGGCCATAATTCTTAACTATTTGGAGTCTTTAAAGCGCACGTGCGCGCGCCTGTTCGGTGGGTGCAGTTGTTGGTTCTCTYTCACGTGGCGGTTTCGGGTTCGCTTGAGCTCGTCCATGGGAGGTGTCCCCGAGTCCTGCTCGCAGCCAGCCCMCGGGTTGGGGTGAATCTGGCCGCTTCATTGTGCTGGTAAAGGCAGGGCCKTGGATGGAGGTGCAGGTGTGAGGTGCGCGAGTGGTTTCAGGAGGCGAAAGAAAGTTGGATGCATCAACACGCTCCTCCTTCCTAAGCACGTCCTGCCTATGAGCTCAGATGCATGAAAATACTATATATATGTTTTTCTTCATTTTTTGCCTGGCTGCATGCTGCGTTTTAGCCAGGAGCGCCCAGCGAGGCCGTCCTTCCCSCCAGGGATCGTGGCCGGTGCTGCGGCAGGGCCGCGTCCCGCGTCGCGGATGAGCGGCGGGAAGCGCCGGCGGAGCCCGGGGCGGCGCGCGGCCCTGCTCGGCGCTCCCTGCACCCCACCCTGTTCCTGTCTGCGCCCCCGGCTGTCGTCAGAAAGCTGACCCAGGAGTGTTTGTGTTGTACGCCGTCCAGGAATGGCACCGGGAACGCACTTAAGCGCTTCCTTTTGTGCGCTCGCCCCGACGGCCGGCGAAGGGAGCGCGAAGCCCGGGGCAAAGCAGCCGTCCCTGGGGATGGGAGTGCTCAAGGTGAGGCGCGCTCAAGGGCACAGAGAGTGGCTGCAGGGCTTAATGAAATCATTGCCTGCTCCAGAAAAGGAGTTTTATTTGTTATTTCCCCCAAGGTTTTGGATTAGGGTATTCTAGTTTGATGGGATTGCCAAACCTGAGGGCTCCGTGTCCTCGGAGTGTGCCCCGTTGGACAAGGGACCGGGATGGCATGGGGCATTTTCCCTGCAGAAATGCCCAAAACGGGCCACCCCAGCCATTGAATCTSTGTTTATCCATTTAGCCGTGCTTGGCACCTTGCTGCCCAGCCGTGGGCCACCTTAGATATGTGACAAAGCACCACGACATTGAGGAGCCACAGAGGACCTCGTGGCGCTTGCATTAATGGGACATCGCAAGTGTGCAATTGCTAGACTGATTATTTTTTTTTTTTCCCCTTTTTTCCCCTCCTGAACAAGTGTTTTCCAAGCAGTGTCTGGCCCTGGCACGCAACATGTACACAACAACATGGGGAGATGTGCAGTGTACATGAGCCTGACCTTCAGGAAGCATTTTTAGTTCATCAAAATTAGTGATGCTGAGAAATCAGGACATCAGTGCATAATGACTGTGAAATTAGGAATGAGAGCTTGCTATGCAAATGACAGGACAAATCATGTGAAAAAGTCAAGATAAACTGCATATTAAGACATTATGTTACATAAAATTAATACTGCATTTCTCTCTTGCTTACTACTACACTGGAAGATTTTTTTTTAAACTCTTTTATCTTCTGATCAGCTATTGTCTGGTGATTTTTAAAAAAGAGGTGCACAGAAAAAGTGCTAAACATGTTATTACCTTTTATTGTAATACATGAGATGACAGGAGATCCTTTTTCACAAAGTATATCCTTTACTGCTTTTAGTTTTGTGCTGTCACATATTTGATTTGAAACTATAGAAAAGTAAGGTGCTTAAATATTACCGTTAAAACTCATACGGGTTTTGTCTTTTTCTCTATTGTTTTTTTTTATTTTTTTTTCCCCTTTTCTCTTCCTTTTTTGGGGCTGGGGGAAGAGGGGTGGGTTTCTGGAGAAATAGTCTTCTTGCATTACTAGGACTGACAAAATGGTTCTCATGTAGTCTGCAAATTAAACACAAGTGCAGTGATTATTTTGAATAGCTAAATTACATTCTAGAAAGCTTGCAGAATTCATAGCATTGTCATTAGGTATCCGCTTGAATACAATTTGTGTAACCTTGGCCAAGACAGCCTGTCATTTTAATGTCAGTGTTTTATCTGAACAAGACATCATCCTTTCAGATACAGTGTACAGGTTCCTCGCAAAGATGCCCGTGCAGAAACGTGTTAACAGTTGCAAATATGAAATGCTATCAAGTTCATCACTGTAGCTGTTTGTCACCGAAATGTCATGGAAAGCGGCTTTTAATGGTATCTCACATAATATGAAAGAATTGAAGACATCTGTATGCGGGGTGGATGTGCAGTGGCAAAGACGTCGGAGAGGGGCCTCTGTGCGGCCGTGCAGCGCTGCGGAGCCGCCTGCGCCGGCCTGGGCAGCCTCCCCTGCTCCCGTCCGCATCCCGGGCAGGGGGCACCCGCGGCTCTGTGGCCCTGGGGGAGGACCGGGCTGACCTTTCCTCTAAAAAATAAAAATTAAATAATGCTGAGCGGGTTTCTTTAAAGTACATCGGTGGGGATGTGGCCGGGGTGGCGTTGGGCTGGGGCTGCCCTCCTGAYCTGCCCTCCGCTCTCTGCGCCAGGTTCCCGTCTCGGTGGCTATGATGACACCGCAAGTGATCACTCCCCAGCAAATGCAGCAGATCCTCCAGCAACAAGTGCTCACGCCCCAGCAACTCCAGGTGCTGCTCCAGCAGCAGCAGGCACTCATGCTTCAACAGGTAAATGTTTCCTTGGCGGCCTCGCAGCTCCGGCTTGGGATGCCGGCGGGTATTCCCAAAAGGAAAGAAAGGCTGCCRGGGTCAAGGTGCACGTCAAAGCGATGGGACTTGTGGGCGTCCCCGTTGCTTTTCCTTGCATCCCCCCAAACGCACGGTGTGCCGTGGGTCATGAGCAGAAAGAAGAGAGGACGGGGGCGCTTTGTGTTTCAGACCTTGCTCTGCCCATCTGGAGCTGTAAAGGGCTCCTCAGTAAAAGCTGGGAGCATTTGCCAACCCTAATCTGTTTAACTCCATTGGCATTCCCAGCACCCCATCCCAATGTCCGCTCCTGCAGCCGGCACCAAGCAGTTCAGAGGCTGCTACTGGAGCGCGCGGCACAGCCCAGCCCCAGGAATCATCGCCGGGAATCGCCGGCTGCCGTGAACGGCCGCCGCAAACTGACCTTGGGTCCTCCTGCCGGGCGGCCGTTCTCCCTCCCTCCTCCCTCCTTCCCTCCCTCCCTCCTTCCCTCCTTCCTCGCCAGCCGGATGCCGGCACGGAGCACGCCCGGGAGCGGGGAGGAGGCGAGGATTTCCCGGGATGTCTGCGCGCGTATTGAGCAACACTTAATGCAGCCAAGCCCTATCATTTAGAAAGGCATCTGTGTATCACAACAGAGCTTCGCCAGGCTCTCAGCAAGGGCATTCGGGCTTTGTTGTTACAATCAAAGGTCATCCCGTGCCTTATTTTAATTAGTTTGTGTAGAAAATGGTATGTTTTTCATCAGTTCATTTTGGAGATTACTTTTCAAACGATAATGCCAAGAATAGTCAGTGTGCACTGAATTTATTGTCGAGTTTCAAACTAAAGGTCAGACCATTACAGATAAAAGGATGCTATTTTTCAAATCGCAGTTTGTGTGTAGCACCGAGAGGGACACCGCGCCGGAGCTCCACTTTGTTCCTCACCATCTCTCCTTTTCTTTGTAGCAGCAGCTCCAAGAGTTTTATAAGAAACAACAGGAACAGTTGCAGCTTCAACTTCTACAGCAACAACATGCTGGAAAACAGCCTAAAGAGGTACAGACAATACCCATTTTACTTTCAAACCACACGTCCCAGGGGACTGTCTCATAGCTATTAAACTGTCATTCATCTTATAAATGATTGCACAACTGCACTGACTCTGTCGGGCCTCAGCTTTCAGATGGAGAGTTATTGTCCTGTTTTTGCCTTTACTCTCCTGTGCTTTCCACTCGCTCGCTGCCATATATTTTATAGCAGGGGGCCGTGCCTCAATGTTTGGGATGAGTGTTGGAGCAGCATCTAGACTAGCATCTCGGAGGGCGTTTTTGGAAATTATGGTGTAAGTGGGAAGAGGGAAGGATGCAGGCCCAGGTTTGGTGCTGGGCTTCCATAAATTGGTGCAATTCCAAGTGGTTTTGAGTTCCAACTCATCATTCCCAGCCAGCAAGGCTCAGGTGGCAGGAGGGCTGTGCTGAAGCAAGCACAATGTGGTACACGGGTGCTAGGGACACCACGCCAGCCTGACTGCACCCATGGGTGCAGTGGGACACAATGGGTGCTTCCTCCCTCCAAGTACCTGCCACGCTCCAACTCTGTTGATTTTGGGGGTGCTTAAATCCATTTTACACCATGTCCACCTCAGTAGTRACCAGAAGTGATGGTGGAAGATGTCAGTGCTGATGTGGCATCAGTGTAGACCTGGAAAGCCACCGCTCGGCACAAGGTGCCACGTGATGCCCTCCAGCGGTTGTGCCTCAGTTGGCCATCGTGGTGCTCAAAGCACATCTCAACGTGGCCTGGGCCAGCTTTTCACCCCCAAATTTGGGCAAATAGTGCCACCTGTGCCAAGTTTCAACCCAGAATAATATATTTTTCTTTCCAGCTGAGTTATAAACCCCTGAAACTAGGGGTTTTTAATGGAAACGCTGACACAACCTTAACCATAGCGCGCTTACGGGCGCCACTATAATAAAAAGGGAACAGATTAAAAAGTGTCTAAAATGTAAATCTAAAGGACTAACAGTAATTAAAATGGAAATGGCACAGGGAGGGAAGGCATGTAATTGTGAGATATCACTGTGCAGAATGCTCTCAGCTTTGTTTTGCTGGCTGTTTTTCTAATTCAGTAGGGCTTACTCATCAGTGGCAGTTCAATGCGCGTTAATGACTCTGGGATGCAGGCATCACTCTGGACAAAGAAATGATTATTGTGCGGTCAAAAGAAGTTCAAAGACAAGAAGGGAATTTCAGTTTTTTCCTTAGAGATCCACATTCAAGAGCATATAAATTAAGCCAAATGTTAAAAACCACAGTCTGAAAGCTGACTTCAAAGTCACAACTCTCTAATTAATGAACTGCGAGCTTCAGTTTGGACAAGTCGTGGTTTGATGCGCCCATAAATCAACATGACAGGTCTGTTTCACAGCCTCAGACAGCGCTTGTCATTGAGTCACATCAGATGTAAACACAGCAGAAAAAAGGGGGAATATGAAGGAGGTGCAATTGATCAACAGAATTGGTAAAAACCCACTTTTGAAACGCATTATGCATGATCACAGGAAATGGCGATAGCCTCAAGAGGCTTTCTCCTTCTGCTGTTGCTTTTTTGAATCAGATTTCTAACAGCCTTCAAAAGGGAGAATAAGAATTATGGAGCTTCTCCCCTGTGGCTGGCAGGCAATAACCCCCTGTTGTTATTTTGTGCTTCTTTCTTTTCAAAGGCGTCAAAATTTAGTTTTTTAAAGATCTTTAACTCTATATTTGAAGACAAACAATAAAGGGCTGCCACTGTCATTCTTATCAGTTACCAGGGATTGTATTTTTCCTTTCTGTTGCCACTTCTTATTAACCTCTTATTTGGTCTATTAGACATAGTTTTGAATGCAAGCCTGCATGCTGGGAGAACATGAAAGTTCAGATGAGCTCAGAGGGCAGATAAAGAAATGTGAAGGGGAAAGTTACACAGCAGAATGAACGATAAAAGTTAACTCTCCCAAATTGCTGTTGTCAGACAGGAGAGCATCTCAGACACAAAGATGACGGCCGGGCGCTTGGAGGGGGGAAAGGAAGAGGGGGGGGAAAAAGGGAGGAAAAAAAAAATAAAAGAGAAAAAATCCCCACTTTGTACTGAAGGGCTGGGAAGGGGCGGTGGACAATGCGGTGGCGCTTCGGTACCTGGCGTGCCGCGTCGYCCTTCTCCTGTGTCCTCACGAAAGCAGCAGTGGGCAGAGGCTCCTTCCCGCTCGAGGGTGAGCGTTTAGCGTGAGAGCTGTTACGAGAACGAGAGGCGCGGGGACCTTGGGCCTTTGTTATTGTTTTTAACATAATAGACGTCTATGTATATGTATATAATTACATATGTAATATATATATTTTTTTTCTTTTTTTGAGGGGAGGTTGGTTTCGTAGGGGCCACTTTGGAGCCTGCACCTCACCCTCAGCTTGGCTCAGCCCCTTCCCCGCGCGCAGGGGACCATCCGGCTGCATTAGGCTGCAAGCAGTGGTTGGTTGGGTTCAGCTTGGGCTTTTCCCCTGCTTCCTCATAGGAAAAATCGCCCAGACTCCAGCCCTTGGCTGCAGTGAGCGTGAGGATTCCCAGCCTCCCGTGGCTGAAGGGGAAAATCATGGCCAAAAGGCCCAGCCCGAGGGGTGCAGCGGGAATGCCCTCCAGCCGGGATAACACAGCGGATGTGCTCCTGTGCTCCTTCAGTTTTCCGTTTTTTTTTTTTTTTTTTTTCCCTTTGGGAGACGGTGCACCGGGGTCGGTAGCAGCCCTTGTGTCTGCCCAGCAACCTCTCTTAAATAAATTAGGTTGGTTTAAAAGCAGCAGCAAGAGCCCCGTTGGCGCATCAGGGTTGCCTTGAGTGGATTTTTTTTCTCCCCCTCCCAAAAAAAAAAAAAAAAGGCCGTTTGTCCTCCAGCAGTTATGACAGTTTATGTTAGGCAGTAGGGAGTAACCTAAGAAAGGAAAACAGACCTTTGACAGAAGCTTTAGGGAGGGGATCAGAAATGCAAGTTTTATCAGGATATTTCAGCATTTTAACGCTGACTACTGACCTGACAACAGGACTGCTCTGAGACCTTTTTTGTATGCATTCAATTGTGAGAAGTAAACAAACCGACTTGTATCCTGTGTTTGGTAACTGGGTGGGGAGCACAGTTTGGCAACGGGTGTTGCTTTTAAATTCTTTCTTGGACAATGGGCCTTGTATACTTTTATATCCTGGCTTTTCAAAGGCGAGAGCATGGTCGGCAGCTWGGCTCGGCGTAGCCGAGAAGACAACCGAGCGGGCATCACTCCCTTTAGATTAAGTTTTTCAGTCCCTTTTTTCTTTCTTTTTCCTTTTATTTTTTTTTTTAATTTATGCTACCTCAGCACTCAGACGGCAAATAGGTAAAACAAATTGCCATAACTCGATTTCTTTGTATCTAATACTGCTAATATACATACATACATAAAATTTGTAGGAAATTAGTATCTGCAGATGCAACTATTGCCTCGGCTCTCACAGCGCTCGCAGCTGCGGTTTGCATCCGTGGGGTGCTGTTGGGAATGGCTGTGAGGGCTAGGCCTGCCCCAGCAAGCTGGGGTGCGGAAATTAAAACACTTTGGGTTTCAGCGTGTCTAAATGCTCATTTGTTTTAAGTATCTTCGTAATGCTGTGGGTTTTCCTTAAGAAGAAGATAAATGGCTGTGCCTGTTGGTACACTGATAGGTACACAGTTGGCTGCAGCATTAAGATGGATGGGACTTTGCAGGGAGAAAACAACTATTGAAGGGTTTTGTTAAAAGCAGCTTCCCTTGCTCTTAGCTTTCCCCAATGGGCTTTTAATTTTTGCATTTGTTTTTGCCTTTTTTAACTACARTTTTGCAAAATTCAGCACTGGTCTTTCCTCTGGCCTGACCCAATCCAAATAACCGAATGGGGTGAATCAAAGGCAGGAGGTTTTGGAGCGCCCCCGTGCCAGGCGGGATGCAGATGCTTGATGCAATGAGCCRGCCTCGATCCGGGAATTTTGAGGGTTTTTCCCTGCCTTGCACCCGTGCGGGCGGCTCCTGCACGCCCCCGGGGGAGAGAAGCAAAAAGCTTGCAATTTTGGCTTTGTTTGCAAAAGTAACCCCCGGTGCAGTTGRGTAAGAGTTAATTTTCTTTCCATAATTGTTAGCCATAATGTGTATAAGACCTCCACCTTGATACGATTCCTAGCAGATTAGGGATATTAGATAATTTCCTTCTATTTATTGTACTACTGCACTGTATTATCTTTCTATCACTCAGATAATTACTAAGGAAATCTACATTAATTTTTTTTGGCTAGCACAAGGAACTGCTAAACACTGGCATGATGTATTGATGTTTTACACAACAAAAGTTTTCCTCCTGTCATTGTACAATAAATAAAAAGATATTTATCAAATGCAAAGCCTTTCATGGGTTTTAAAGAACAAAGCAAATAAAACACAAGATGAGCATGGAAGCAAAACCTAGAGGCTTCCTTAACTGAGCAAAATTAAGGACTCTGAAGCCTGGAGTACTGTACGTATTAAACACTCACATTCAAGTAAGATGTTGTTTGCTAAATTATGAATGTGTGTAATTAAAATCTAGTGGCTGTTTCTATGAAAGATTTACAATGTTATTTCATCGTTTGTCATGGCTAATTAACAATATTAGATGAAGTTTTTCTTCTTCAAAGGTCTGATTTTTTCTCATTTATTTATGTCAGAAGTGATAAACAGAGTAGTTAAAAGCTTCTCTGGGTACGGCAGCGAGAGAAGCAACATGTTCTTCTACACCTCGAAGGTTCAAGGTTCGCATCCCCGCGGAGGGAGGCAGCTCAGGCTGCTTTATAGTGAGAATAATTAAAAATTTCAAAGTGCAGAAGTAGCAGCCTTAAACACAGCACGGAATAATCCTGAACGTAACAGGAAATACTGTTGCTACATGGATGAAGAGGGGAGAATGAACACAAAATACTATAAATTGCTGTATTTTACTATAAAGTAAGGCAATTGTGTTTGCAGGAGCAAAGCAATCATGGTGCAGGATGGTTTTTTGTCACCTTTTGGTGTAACGTGGTGGATGATGTTAGTTGGGGTTTGCTGGCCCCAAGAGTTACCCCAGCAGCCCCCATCAGCATTTGCTTTTCTCCCTGATGGGTAAAGACCCAATTGTGTGCACTGAGACAGCACGAAGACGCCAGACCGCTCAATAAATATTTAATGGGAATTACAGGAGGGATTTGGGGTGGAAATGTTTCCAGAGGTGTAGATGGGCTGCAGCCCCATGGTTAGCACCGGTACCCTCATCTTTGATGCCATGTGGCCAAGACCTTTCCTTATCCCGGGTGGCAGCAGTTCTAGACTGCAAGGGCGCTGAGCCCAGGAGCTCTTTGACCTCTTGCTAAGGCTCTTCCGTGTCGTGGTGCATTAAATTCCTGTTGCTCTTCTCTTGTCTTGCAGCCGCAGCAGCAGCAAGTGGCCACGCAGCAGCTGGCCTTCCAGCAGCAGCTCCTGCAGATGCAGCAGTTGCAGCAGCAGCACCTCCTGTCCCTGCAGCGCCAAGGGCTGCTCACCATCCAGCCCGGGCAGCCCACGCTGCCGCTCCAGCCCCTCGCGCAAGGTACGTGCATGGGGGTCTCTGCTTGCAGCAACGGGGCAATTGGGAGTCCAGGTTTGGTGTGTCCAGCATCTCCCATCCGGCCTCAGTTTGCCCAGGTACCACCAGCAAAAAGCTGCTGATACTCTTAGCCCAAGTGTGAAACTCTTTGCAGCAGGCTCCCTACTAGATTTTATTGTACTGGATAGCGTGAGAGCAGCTTTTCCTATTCTTTTTTTTTTGGTGTGTTTTTTTTTTTTTTTTTTTTTTTTTTTTTTTTTTTTTTTTTGGTGTGTTTTTTGGCCCTTTCTAGTTCCATCCTTGGCAAGAAGTCAAGTGAGGAAGGACTCCGAGCCGCGCGCTGTAGAAATTTGATTGCCCTTTCCCGCAGCTGAAAGAGAAAGGTGGCAGCGTCTCTTCTCCATGCCTGTTTACGTGTCCTTCGTTTCACTGCCTGTTTATATCCCAGCCCCATTCTTCCGTCCATGCTGAGACAAATTGGGATTAACTCCATTTAATTTTAGTGGAGTTAAACACGAGCCGTGTTGAGCGTTACATCTTCCTGTGTCTTTCTGTAGCCTTGCACTCAGTAAGGAGTCACTACTGTTTACACTGCAATACTTTTGACAATGATTACAAAGTAGGGTTTTTTTATTATTATTATTATTCCTTCTACTCCCTTATGTGTGCTTTTTTTTTATTGTTATTTTTTTCTCCACCCTGCGTCATCCTTGGGACATTTTACGAATGTAGCCCAAGCTCTGGTTGCTCTGTTAAGGCAAGTTGCAGGCTGGTATGGCTCAGAGATGACGGGGTCTTTGAAACTATAATGCTGATGTTCCCAAATAATCTTACCTCTCCCCTTGCCCCCTATGATAAATTTGACCCCCCACTTCACCAACTTGAGTCAGCTCAGCTGGGACTGTGAGGCCTTCAGAGCATCCTTAGGGCTAAACTGGTTGCTAAACCCTGTAACAGGAGAGAGAAGGCATGAAATGAGTCTGAGAGGAAAGAAAGGCATGTAAGGTAATGTATTTGTACCAGCAAAACTTTGCAATGTGCTAATTGCCCCTGAACTGCGTTGCTGGGGGCACTGTGAGCTGCTCTGAGCCGCCCGTGCGGCTCTGGCTCCGACCTTGCTAATTTTTCCCCTGCTCCTCTCTACTATTAAGTTTGCTCGGTAAGGTTCACTGTACAGAGCATCAGTTAAGCTGTCCAAAGGAGGGCAATTGGGCAGTGACAAGACACGCTCCTGTGTAATGCGAGCGAAATGAATGTGGTGATGCATGAAGTGTAATCTGCGCAGGAACACGTCGCAGACACCGGTAGGTAATTCCGYGGCGCTGGCAGTGATGGATACGGCGAGCGGGACGGCGCGACCGATCGTCCCCGGCGCGCCGCAGACCCGCGGGGTCCCCGAGTGCTCCGCGTGCCGCGAAGCGAGGGGCTCACGGGCTGCGAGCGCCGGCCCCGCCGCGGCACGGGGACCGCAGGGACGAGGAGCGCGGGGTTGCGGTGGGCAGCAGCCACGGCCCCRATTTTTCCCATCGCAGAGACGGTGCCTTAAAACTGATGTCATTATGAGGTTTAAATCAACTTTCTGCTTGCTTGAACATGGTCACCTGGGTATGGAGGTACAAGGACACGAGGAGGTTGAGCAACTCGGTTTGTCTCCGCGCCGGCGATACCTGGGGTTGGGAAATTGAGTTCCGCGAGCAGTAATCTGTCACCTGTCCCCACAACATACATTTTTTAAACCTCTGCCTACATTTTCTTTCATAATGAAGGGGACTAGTTGTCCTGAAAAATGCAATGAAGAGCCAGGCTATAGTTTAAAATAATTGGTAATGGACACTTCTTATTTAAAGGAAAAAAAAATCATATATCATCCTCTTTTGTTTTCTGAACAGTTTGCAGGACTTWGACAAATACTCAAAATGTGTATGTTAAAAAAAAAAAAAAAAATCAGCCCACTAGTTAAATGTAGCTATGAATTCAGTTAAAAGCATTTGCTTTTTATTCTTATTATCTGTAATAATAATAAATGTTTCTGAGGAGAAAATGCCACTTTTTAAGTGATTTTATTTTTGTTAGAGTTTTGGAATTAATACATTGTTTAAAGCCGTATCTGGGTTTCAATGCTTCCCTATTGTCTTACACAAAATAGCACATCCTTTAATGTTATATTTGTGTAATCTCTGCTGTTTTGTATTTAGACACATCTGTAATCCAGATTTTACATCTGAGCATGGTGGCAATTTAAAAATAAACCGTATTTCAGGAGTATTCAGAGCTGCCAGAACTAGTTCTTCAGTATCTCCAAAGTGAAACTGCAAATTGCACTTGAACTCACTAGTGAGTGAAATAATAGGCCAGGAGCATCTGGTTGCTTGATTGCTCTCCTGGACTAGGCAGCTACAGGTCCGAATCCCGTTGTTTGCGCTTAGGAAGTTGCAGCCCAAGCAAGGGTGATCACACGTAATTGCACCGCAGCTCTGGGAAGCTGACTTAAATTTTAGCTCTCACTACTAAAATCAACCTGTTAAACTGTACATTTCATAATTTATTGCAAGTGTTCATGGATCTCTTTGACTTGCTTTTACCATTTGTTCTATTATTTTATTTAACTCGTTTGCCTAATGAGTAATGAGCGTGCCTTGCAACGGCCGGGCTAGTTAGGAATTCTCTGCAGAGTTATTTGAAACGAGCAGGATTTGGGGAAGGAGGAGCATTTTTCTTATTAAATCTTTCCTATTCGAGGGATATCAGTGATGTGGTCATTTTTTAAACACCCAGTTGGGTGCAGGTGTGTTTGTGCTTGTGACAGCGCAGTCAGTACTAATGACTCCCAACCCCAAACCTTTTCATCTCCAGCATTTTTTTTCCGCAATTTTGATGCTTTTTATTTCTCTCCCAATAAATGGTATAATTCTCATAATTAATAGGAATTACACCTGTGTATTAAGTTGGAAGGAACCTTTTCTGTCTTAGAAGTTCTGCATAAAGCTATATGTAATACATATATTATTTTACGTTATAATAGTGACTGTAATATTGACATATATATACACACATGTTTATAATATATTTAAATTATATCAATATGTTTATTATATATAATATTTAATGTGTGTATATAGATCATGTGTTATAGACCATATATTATTGATGTGTATTTTGTTAGCTGTAGCGCTTGTAGGCTTTGCCTAAAGGACTGATAAATCCAAAAACACCCAGGAGGCGAGTGAAGGTGAGAGCATGAAGAGAGACAAGGAGAGTTGATGCTGCCAGTTCTCCAATTAATAATAATAATTAAAAAAATCCACTTGTCTAAGAAATACAGATAGGGGGTGGGAAAAAAAAGGGGGGGGGAAGCAAATCTTTCCCTATTTGCTTATTCCCAAAAATAAAAATAGGTGTTGAGTCATATGGTCCCCTATCGATACGTTACCATCACTATTGTTTCAGTGGAGTAAGCAGCGGCGCGGGGCGGCGCAGGTAATTGGGAGCGCGAGACAGCCCTGGCCGGCGCGCGCGCCGGGAACACCGCGCGCCGTCRCTCCGCGAGGTGTTGGGAAATAGCGGCCCGCACGGAGCCAAACAGGACGCGGGCCTGTGCGCTSACCTTTCTCTTTGTTTAATTCGTGCCGGGCTTAATTTCAGGGGGAGAAGTAATAATTGAATATGTCTAATAACTAAATGCTCTTTTGGGACAAAATCCATCAAAATGTAATTGGCGGCTGGTTCTGGTGAAGGGGAGGCGGCTTTAGAGACATGGAGGTGTCCGAGGAATATCAGATTGCCCAACATATAAACTGAAGCCTCCTTCACGCTATATATTAATTGTGGATACTTAAGCATTTAAGGTTTTTTTTTCTCCTTTTTTTTTTTTTTTTGTAGTGAACTGTTACTGGAGACTGTTTTTGTTAATGCTACTCTCAGAAAGGCGGGGAAGGTTATTGGTCTGTCGTGCAATAATTTACTCCTCTTTGATATGCAAACGATCCACGGTGAATATAAAAAAAATCCTATCAGACTCATTTCACAGTTCTTAACCACTTAGATTCTCTGGAGTCTATCGCCTCATTAGACCAGTGCTCTCCAAAGCTAGCATAATTAAAATCTTTAACAGTTTAGCAAAGTAAAGATGTTTGGCTGATCACGTTGAGATGATTATCTATCCATTGTATTCTAAATGACAAAAATAAATTAAATTTAGACCTTGGCATTTTTTATTATGTGTTTCAAATGAATATAATGCATACTGCTTTCCTTTTTTTTTTTTTTTTTTTTTCCCCCCCTCTTCCTTTCGCTTTTTCCCCCCCTCTCTTCCTCGATGCCTTAGGTTTGGTGAGCTCCATGCCTGCTTGATGCTGCTTGTCGCTCAGAAAATGGCAGGTTTCCTTAGGATAGGGCCAGTGTCACAATACACTGAAACAATGAACTCCCAACCAAATAATCGCAAATCAGAGAAATAAGAAACCACTTTAAAAACACACCAATGATGCCATTTTTTTTTCTTCCTGAATTTTTAAGCAATTCATCTCAGCTGCTTTTTTTTTCTTCTTTTCTTTTTCTTTCTTTTCCCCATGGTCTGCTGAAAGAGCATTGAATTAGTCCTCGATTAGATAATTTCTCATTTGATCATGTCCCACACCTGATTTTTATCCCAAGAATCTCAGCGTGGCAGCCACACGCCGGTGGCCGCTTGCATTGGGCCCTACTGCAGTTTGCAGAGTTTTTCACTCGGGACATATATGGAATGCTACAGGAATGCCCCAAACCTGATGTCCATCTAGACACAATGAAGCCCTCCAATTTCTTGATTTCTCCCAGCCTATTTTATGTTTTCATTTTAGTTTTGAATGGCTCATTAGCATCGATCTAAGAAATGACAGTAATAATAGTGTTACTTGTATAGAAAGTTACACAGTTTTTCAGCAGACACATCCATCAATTAAGTGAGCAGTTTGAGAAACCAAAATTAATGAGAAAGATAGGTGTGTTAATGAAATAATCATAGTATAATCAATTTGACTGTTAAAATTTGAAAAGCATTTCAGGAAGACAATATGAATTCATAATTTATGTCTAAAAGTGATTAATAAAAACTGTATTTAATAACAAAGCTATTTGTCATCATTTAAAACTTAAGCACAAAATTAGTCATATTGTGGTTTGTGTTGTCATAATAGTATACAGCTGATTTTTTTTTTCCKAAGATCTTTCTTTAAAAAATATGATAACAAGTGTTTGCTTTCCCTAAAATACATATTGAAATACATATTTCTGGGGGTTGTGCAGATGAGTCCATGGTCACCATTGCTCTCARGTTGCCTGGGTCCTCAGTAGAATTTTTGTCTGCATGGGGACTCTGAAATGCCCAAATCACCCAAAGTAATAGGAATTAACACGATGCACCAAGGTGCTGTTCTGCGTGGATCCCTGTATTGCACTGCCATGGGATTTTGCCTTTAATAGGTATTATAGATCAGGTACTCACATATTTAGCAGATGGCCTAACTTGTTCAGTATTAGCCTTAAATTATTAAAAAATAAATAGTGCTAGAAGTGCGCATGCGCACACACAACTCAGGCTAGGCTTTGTTTACTGACTCTGTGATTTAATTACTGTTTGAAGACGGCCCGAATTAGCAGTTAATTGATTTAATTATCCAATTTGTTTGTTTCAGGCATGATTCCAGCGGAGCTGCAGCAGCTCTGGAAGGAGGTGACGAGCTCACACCCGGCGGAGGAGGCGGCCAGCAACAACCACAGCAGCCTTGACCTCTCCACCAGCTGYGTCTCCTCCTCGGCGCCCTCCAAGACCTCCCTGCTCATCAACCCGCACGCCTCCACGAACGGACAGCTCTCGGTCCACACTCCAAAACGGGAGAGGTAGGTGMTGGTGCAACGGAGTTGTCTGGTCTTCTGCTCTGCAGTAAGAGCCTCCTCTGGGCTCTCTCCTTTTGTTCCTAATTGCATCCAAGTGGGCGCCACTGACTGATTAGAARCGTGTTAAATAATGGGAGGGAAAAAAAAATATATATATGATGAGTGTAAACTGTTTTAAGACTTCTGTTGTCGGTGTCATCCTTGAGTGCTTTAGAGATARGAGCTCATGAGTTGATCAGTCTGGGGTGTTTGGCCACAAGTCACATGCGTTTTGGTCAAGTTTTAGGGCTTATTGTGCAACAAATTTGCCTTTTTTTTTCTGCATTACCTGCTTTTATCCAGCAGGCTAGACTTGAGTTCCTCCGCAAAATAGCGTACATGTTTCTAAGTGTGGATGAAATTAAGTAATCAGTGCTGTCTGGCTCTTGAGTTGATGTGCGCTTGCTGAGCYCACGTTGTTAAAAGTTATTTTGGGGGCTCTGCAGAAACTGCTTTTGGCGACTTTGAGGAAACGGCCCCAATGGCATTTGGTTCCTGCGGCTGCACACGGAGCAGCAGAGAGGTGCTTTGCATTCAGGAGAGCCCCCTTGCCCAGCTAGCGATGTTATATGAGACACTAGTGAGAGGTGGATTTTATGGGAACTGATGGCTTTGTCTTTCTGTCCTCCTTTCATTCATTAGAAACAGGATAATGGAATTTTTAAGCCATAGAGTTTATATTTCTGGTGATCTGGAAAGAGATTGATAGGGAAGTTATATAAATACCTTTTACATCTTTCTAGTATTAAGAAAATAGYGGTGGTTGGAAAAGATGGTTTTAAAGAAGAGCATACCCAGTGTTTAGAAGTGTAGCTGTTTTGATATTATAAAGTATACGGCATCATTTTATACCCATTGCAAGGACATGTGGGAGAACATTAGCGTATACATTTATAATGCATGGAAGTGACAAGGACATGGTTGTCATGAAGCCTTGCGTGTGATGCTAAAAACAATTTGATGTTTATTAAACAATTAAATTCCGTTTTTGCTCCRCATAGAGCTGAACAAGATGCATTTATGACTTTCCAGCTTTTTTTTAATCTATGTTTTTCCTAGTTTATAAAACAAAAACCCATGTAGTGAAAGAGATCTTCTCTCACTGAATAGATGCATGTGCTGTCTGCTAATGGCAATCTAATCAAGGAAACAATATGCCAGCGCTGCTTAGTTTGAAACGCAGTGGAAACATATGAATCTGTTCTGAAGTAAGAATTTGCTTTCTGTACACTGTCAAAGAGAGCTGGAAACCTGTGTATCTGAGGGCTGTCGTGTAATTGTGGCCCGAAGGCAATTTGGCTCTACAAATAAGGTGATACATATGCTTTTATTAGTAAAGTTCCAAATAAATTAATTAGGAAGGCGTAAACATGCCACAGTATTGCCTGAGACTGTGTTAGGTTAGAACACTTAAAATCCTCAATCATTGCACGGAGAGGTGTCTTGTTAAAGCTTGTCATTATGCCTTGCTTAAAATCTACTGAGTTCTCCTCAATACCAAAATACAAAAATAAGTATATTTAGGCACACAAATAGGAGGGCAACGGCCTTTGCTTTCTCTTGGCTGTTTGGTACACGGGAGGCTTAYGCCATCCATTTGCTGCAGTGATTGAATTACATCCGTGTCCATCAGCAGAGCAGGAGGCTGCGCACGGACGAATGCCTACTGATGCACTTAAGGGTTTTGTTGCAGTCTCATCAGGCATCGTGGTGCCTGCCTGCATTTCATGTGACATACAAACTCCTCTTGTTTAGCTGCCTTGCACCGACTTCCCCTTTGGAAGGGGATTTAGCTGCCGTCAGGGCGTTCGGGCTGGTGGCGAGCAGGGGAAAGATRAGCTGTGCTGCGTGTGTTTGAAAGCACCCAGAAACAGAGAGTGCTTGCAGAAGAGAGAGCATGGGCATATGTAGGGCTTGAGTTACCTTTTGATTGCAAAGGTAAAGATTACAAATAACGGTGGATCTGGCTGGAGTGTGACCTGGCTAGACCTGGAGTGTGATTCTCTCTGTTTCCCTGTGTCCGGCTGGTGCAGGAGGATATATGTAATATGGTAGGGTTTGTGGAGCTGCCCAAGTTCAGGTGATGTGGGGCTGTGGGAAGGGCTACAGGGTATGGACCTTTCTGCACGTCTCTGTGCAGGGCAGCAGCTTGGCCTGGCCCGGCAGGTTCTTGTTGCCTATGTGGGTTGCTGGTCTCCCATCTCTTTCCTGCTACCTGCTAGAGTTGAGCAGAACTTTAGTGTGTTTGTCACCTGAAGAGCAATGTCTCTGAAGGGCCTAGAGGGCAAAACTTGCCCGTTTTGAGGTAGCATTTTCTTGGGAAAAGTGTTGAGCTGCTCTGGGAGTCACTCTTGACTTGGAGATCCCCGAGTGCCATTTGAGTGCAGCAGATATTAGTGCAGATATCTCTAGGTTAGAAGTCCCTTGGCTGGTGACAGAGCACGTTGAGTGCAACACTAGAGGAGTTTGCTGCAAGCTTTGGTCCGACGTGACCAGGAGCTATTTATTTAGACTTAAACAACAATAAAAAGCACATAGTAAAATCTGCAAGTGTCCTAACAGTAAACCACAGCCACGTTATAATGACTGCCCAGCAGCAATAAATAATCATATCCAGGTAACATTAACTTTTAGGGGGTGCCATAAAGCAGTGCTTTCCCCCCTGCCCCTTGGGCTTTGGAGCAGGAGTGGGCTGCGGGACACAGGCTGGTCGTGTGGGGGTTGCTGTAATCATCCTCATCTCTGGCACATGTCACTGGGATCGTTCGCTCTGTGTTTTATGGGGTTACTGGTCCCATAAGGTCAGCTCTGGAGGTTGCTTAAAGATCTGCGAAGCAGGAGCAACTCCCTCAATTTCAGCGAGGTTATAAGCACCTGCGTGAAAACAGCCAGAGAGCAGCAGTTCTGCTCAATGTGTTGGGCGAAAACACATTTGAGTTATAAGCAGGTGTTTTAAAATAGCAGGGGAAATAGAGTTATTGGCTGGCTGGTGAGCCCATGCCAAAGCCCAGCCTTGCAGGGTGTAGTGAGAGGTGTAAGTGCTCTGCAGGCTGCCGGAGAGGTCAGGTCTGGCACCAGGTTGTGACACTGGGGTAGCAGCAGTTGCCACCTGTAGCTATGACAGTAACAGCTGAAAGACAGAAAATGTCTTTATGTCAAATAACAGGCTGCAGCCACCCAAATCCAGGTGACTTAGTACATTGGAAGCAGGAGGCATCCTGCGCTCCTGGATGCAGGTCTGGGACTGCAGCATCGCTGCGCATGGGATTTAAGTGCTCGGTGTATGTAACTTTTACAGGAATGGACCAATTCCAGCTATAAATAATGGGTTAATGCTTTCCTTCATTTGGACTTTAAATATATATTACCTCTATGCTTTTGTCCCACAYTTTGCCTGGCTTCTGTAAGTAGCAGCAGCAGCAGCTCTGGGGTTTGGTGCACAGCAATCTGTTAAGGAGATAAATAATCTGCTTTGGTATGACACTCCTACTCTCCTCTTTAATTTGTCTTACACAAGGAAAATTATAATTAAATCATTCAGGGTAAACCCTTGAGTGTAGAGAAGGAAAAAAACACACTTTGGTAAAGATTGCCAATAGAGACCAACTTCCCTGTTGTGCCGTGCAGAGACATTTATCAATATTCAGCACTATTAAAGAGAGAACATTTCGTGTGATTTGTGAGGCGGATGCCAAAGCTCAAATCAAGGCTTGTTAAGATCCTTTCCCCATGCAATCATGGGCATTCAGCATCATTAGAATTCAGCACTGCCTGTGTGTTTCATGCTTTGATTTTACTCAGACAATTTAATAATGTTTATTGTGCTGATTATATATATAAATTCACTGAATGCAATAAACATACCTCAGTCATCAGTACCCTAAGGGAAATATTTAGTTATAGATACTTGTATTCACTCAGGATAAGTGAAAGTGAGACCATCAGCCGGCATGCAAACCTCTCATCATCTTATCAGCATTTGGGTTTCTCCAGTAACAAGCGTTTTCTCTATGTAAGTAGATAAATAAACAACTGGAGCCGGTTAAGTACAGCTGTTGTGCGTAGAAACATCAAGGACAGGACCCACTTTTAGCATCGTTCCATCACATCTTGGGTAGAGAAAGCTTCGTTATTTCGTGAAGATCAACAGCAAAGCAGAACATGTGGTCACCTCCGGTGACTACTGACTTCCTAACCTGACAAGTCCTGTGCATCACAAAATCTGCATGCGTAGAAATATCCCTTTTGCAGTAGGTTTGGGAAAGCAAAGTGTGGCAGAATTCACCACTCCATTAGGATGGGCTGAGCTCGTTCCAGTGGGACCTAGAGCAGGAGGTTTGCGGGCCCCTCACCCCACACACATGGGAGCCTCACGAATCCACTCCGGAATGTTGTGCTTGCTGCAACAGGAGATCGAGACTGTACGCCCAAGAGACCTTTCTCCATCCTCCATTCCGTGTTTGACTTATGATGTCTTTGTTCTCATTCCTACCATACTTGACACGTGTTCTTCCACTTCAGGAAGCAGCCATCTCATAGGAAAAATAGATGGAATAAACAAGGGGATATTTAAATGACTTTTTGTTGCCAGCATCTCAGGAGGAAGGAGTCTTGAGATAGCTCTGGAAGGAAATGAGAGGGATGGCATGGCAGGCCAGTGATCTGCTGTTTAGGCTTAATGCATTGGATTTGACTGTTGTTCTTTCACATGCCAGCTGATCCTCCATCAAAATCYCAGGGCCCTTGGATGAGGGCTCTGGGATTCAGCACACAATTAAGAATTACAGATTTTGGTCCATTATTAATGCTCTGGATGAAACAGTTCAGCCTACAGTCCATATGCTCCCAGGGCCTGATCCTCTCTTGGCCTCCGTCGTTGCGTAGTCCTTGGCATCCATTCTGCACTGGTGCCAGCATCAAATCTGCTCATCCGTGTCAGCTTCCCTCGGTTGCTCCGTGCCATT